GTATAGTTTCTGGTTGGAGTATAAAACTTAAAAAACCATTGTATATTTTTCAAACTATTGTCACATGAATACAAAAAATATATAAAATGATAAAAAATATACATATTTAAACAATCAGGTAGCCTAAAATATGATATAAATATATTTGTTATAATTGTTCTTTAAGATAAGCATGTTAGTATGTATATTGCAAATCTTTAGTTGTAAAAATAATGGGAAAAAATCATGCAGAGAAATGGAAATGCCTTAGAGTATTTGTATTACTATACCATAATTATATGCTTGCTTTAACCAAGTTGAACACTCTACTCAAATTGTCCAAAAAATGGAAAAAATAAACTTGAAATATCAAAAATATACAAAAATGAAATAAAAGTCATTACTTTTCATCAATATCTATTTAAAAAAAAAAAATTAGCAAAATTAAACGGACTTCACCAGTACTTAGTACTAGGATATAGAGATTGATTGCAGGATATCTGTTCTTGAAAGATATTAACATATTATTTTAGTCAAATATTAGGAAAACTAATAACATAATAAAAAATAGGTTTAAAAAAACTATTTATTAAATTATAAGCAAAATTCTTTAATTTACTAATATTGGGCAAAGTGCCCTAATAATGCTGGGTCTTATTAAGAGCCAAATTTGAGTTCGATTTTATTGCATTTACTTATTTGGCGGAACATTTATCTGATTGATGAATATAATTTTGTGTTTCTTTAACATATCTATGTTTTGTTCTAACATTTATAAATGTTTCATTCAGTCTTGATTTTTAAAATATCTTATTTTTGTCAAAGTTTAAGTAAATATTTTATACCGGTCAGTAACAATATTTGTTTTTTTCAAGCAACTTTAAGACGTATTTAAAACAATACTCTTTTAGTTACAGATTTTTGGTTTTGATCTGTTGTGTTACTATAATATTATAATGTAAACTGTTTTGTTGGTCAATATACGATAGACAGAAGTATAAATATAACCTAAATTCTCAGGTTTCAAATAGATCCCAATAATAGCCACACGTTTGACCAAATAAGAGCCAAGGCTCCTATTTGTAACCAATGTGGCTATTATTAGGACAATAGTTTAATTTATTGTGTAAAACTATATTATAAACTATGTTATAGTTAATATATATTATTTATACATTGTGTATATATACACATAGTATATATAATATATACTATGTGTATATATACACAATGTATATATATATATATGTATAGACTACATGTATGTATATAGACTATATTATAAACTATATTATAGTTTATACACAATAATTTAAACTATTGTCCTAATATTAACTATAACTATTGTTTATTTTACCTGGTATAATTACTAATTAATTTTTAATTTACAGTGTTTATTAAGAGAGTTTACTATGTTTGTAATGTTTTTAAGTATGTAATTTTATATTATATAATGTTTGTAAATAAAATTTAAAATAATGTTTTGGATATTTATTATTCAATTTATATCCAAAAAAACAAACTATTTTTTAATATTTACTAGCTACATAATAGTTTTAAAAACAAAAATGCAGTTACATACTTACAAACATCACATAATACATATATACATACTATGTGAATATGTAATATAAAATATAACATAGTATACATGTATTATGTAATGTTTGTAAATATGTAATTTTATATTATATGTTTTTGTATATTTAATTTGATGCCCAATAAGCATACCAATGAAATTCTACCTAAATCATACCTAGTTATTCAACCATTGTACATATGTATGCTTTTTCTGTTATATTGATGCACAGCATATTTTATGCTTGTTTGTGACATCTGTGTATGTTATGATAATATATTTGTTTGTGACATCTGTGTATGTTATGATAATATATTTGTTTGTGGCATCTGTGTATGTTATGATAATATATTTAGAGTAGATGTCAACTATTGTAGTTAGTATACTCTTTTAGTTAATTTGAGTAATTGTAGGAAAAATGGAAAAAATTACAAAAAAAAAAAAGAAAAAAGAAAAGAAAATTAAAAAGAAACTTCCTCTAGTTTTAATTCGAAGTTGAACCAGAAAGTGACAAAAGTATAGAGATTTCAGTGGTCCAACAGCAACATGAAAAATGCAATTGCAGCTTTTCAAAATAACTCAATGTCAACTTACCAACAAGAAATTTACTATTCCTTGGTCAACCCTTGGTAAATATCTTAAGGGAGAATCTTTTGACAAGTCAAATTTTTGTGGGCTTTTTATGAAAGCCTGGGATCACACCTTCACAGCTGACAATATTATTTCAGGGTTTCAATCATCTGACATTTATCCATATAATTCGTCTGTTGTTCCAAGCACAGATTATTTACTTAATTCTGCCTATTCCATAGAACAGCTACTTGACAAAAATGATCTGCTTGAATCAAGTCTGCACCCAATCAAAACTGACACTGGAATAACAAGATTCCAATATGCAATAGAAGAGGAAGTCGGTTTTGAAGTAGGATTAGGCACAAATAA